ATTTTTGATTAGGCAATTATCTTTAGAAAATTCTATAAGATAGCCTTTATCACAAAATTGACTAGTGCTCAACAAATTAAATTTTAATCCTTCAACGAAAGAAACATCTTCAATCTTTAAACCATTTTTCTTGATCGTGCCAACTCCTTTTGTAATTCCATAATTTTGATTTCCACCGAATATAACTTTTGGTCCATCGATTTCTTTGAAATTCACTAGATATGATTTATTTCTAGTCATGTGGCGTGAGAAACCAGTATCGATGTACCAAACATCCTGCAAAAAAAATTAATTAACTTTAGGTACCCATACTTGCTTGAGTCCTTTGCTGTTAGTGATCTTTGGTAACCAAACCCACCTTGATCCTATTGAATTAAGATAAGGCTGTTTGTAACCATTAGAGATACGATAATCATAACTCACTTTTGAAAACATTTTTGGTGCCAGATTTGGAAAAACATTTTTATATTTTGGCACTCGGGAAGAGGATTGTTGCTTTGGTCTATAAAAAAACATTACATCTATTGCACAACCAATCATTTTGAGTGGGATAAAATCTCCCAACTTTATTTCTAGAAAAGCTTCCCTCTTTTCTATGAAATCTTTTTGCACTTGACTCTTTGGCATATCTTTGCTTGAAGAATTTTTGTTGCTTTGCCGTAGTATAGACTTGTTTCGGCCTTTCAACATTCAACTTTGCATTTGTTTGATAGCCAAGTCCTTGTCTCATTGTGTTATTCTGACTTTTAACAAATTTTACCACTTGAACTTTATTATTTAAAGTAGTAGTAGAATTAGTTAGATTTTGAGGGGTTTGAGAACATGTGGAGTCATAACCGATTCCGGTTCTATCTACTGATGGCTTTTGCATGCTCACCATCTTATCCATTATTTCAGACGAGTTAGTGAACGTAGCAATGGTTGCCCGAAGGTTATGTTCTCTAACCTCTCTTGCTTTACACTCTTCTTGAAGATGAATATTTTCATTCTTCAACTTACTCACTTCAAGTAAAGCATCTTGCAATTTTTTATTCATTTCTTCTTTTTCAAGAATTAGAATATTATTGCGCTCCTTGAGTTGAGGATGAGTGAGCATAATCTCTTGAAAATCTTGCATTAGACTATTAATAGATTCACGAGAAAAAGAAGAATTAACAGAATTGAAAGAATTAGATGTTACCTCTTCTTCCTCTGCTTCAAGAGCCATAAAACAGTCTTCACTTGTACTCAACTCAATTAGCTTGCATATTAGCGCCGTATCATCATCCGAACATGAACTTTCATCGCTTGATGATGATTCCTCTGAATCATCATTTTCGTTCGGTTCGTTGCTAACGAGAGCTTTTCTTTTGTCGCGCTTGAACCTTTTGCTTTCAGATTTGTTCGGCGTAGATTCAACATTCTTGCCTTGATACTTGCTAACGATCGGATATGGACAATTTATTTTAAAATGTCCGGGTTTGCGGCAATTGTAGCATAAATCTTTGTTTTCTTCGACTTTTTCTTCTTGTGTTATGCGAGAGATGAATTTTCCACGAGCAGAATTTTTGTTGTCTCCTTTTCGCATAAACCTTTTGAATCTTTTCACAAAAAGAGCAAATTGTTCGTCAGTCATATAATCAACATTATTTTCTACTGACCTGGAGGTTGACGGTTGTTCGGCCATTAGAGCAGAATTTCGAGCTTCATGAACATCATCATCTTTGGCCTTCATTTCGAACTAATATGCTTTTAGATCACTAAATAATTTGTCTGTTGACAACATTCTTAGATCTCGGTGATCGCGCATAGCCGTAACCTTCATATCCCATGCAGATGGTAAGCCTCGTAGGATTTTGAGATTAATTTCTTTTTGGCTAATATTTTTGCAAGATCACTAATCTCTCCAAGAACTTTGATCATTCGAGCTTCCATGTCTGCAACACTTTCATTTGAGAGAATTTTGAAATCTTCAAACTTCTTCATGGCGATTGTGAGCTTATTGTCTTTTTCTTGTTCATCTCCTTCGCCAATCTTGATGAGAGTTTCCCATATTTCTTTTGCGGTAGCACACTTTCGGATCTTCGGAAATATTGTATCATCCACGGCTTTGAATAGAATATCCTTGGCAATATTGTCAAGATTATTCCGTGTTCTATCATCCGATGTCCATTCGTGTTTAGGCTTTTGTACGTACTGTGGAGCATCCGGGGATAGGACAAACGCCGTATTGACTTTTAATATTTCGATAGTGGAAATAACTTCCCACATTTCATCGTGTAAAGCCGATAAGTGTACCTGCATACGAACTTTCCAATCATCAAATTTATCAAGTGAGAATAATAGATTTTGAGCTAAATCTTTCATCATCATCATCACGAGAGATATGAAAGATTAATCCAGTCACACACTTTGTAGAATGGATCAGCCTAGTAGTCAAAACAAGTTGACCCAATTTAGGGACAAAATTTGACTCGGATAGGCACCCGCTCTGATACCAATTATTGGTCCCAAAAGAGGTAAGGTGAAAGTCGAGAGAGAGAGGGGGGGGGGGGGGGTGAATAGACTTTCAAACTTTTTCGCACAGCACAACAATTGCTAAACCAGAGAGATAAACCAAAACTCTTAACTAGATTGTTAGAGTATGGTGCATAGCGGAAATAAATAAAGATAAGGTGTGTGTGAGATTGTGAGCAGTATATCTCGTGTGGAGCAATTAAGTAAAGAGCAGTAAGTAAAGAAAGCAGTAAAGAACACAAGACAATTATAGTGGTTCGCGAGGTGGTGTAATCTTCATAATCCACTTGCTCTTATCTCCAAGAGCAATTCACTATATCCACCACTTCTTGGTTCCAAGATACAATGAATTTCCGGGATCTAGTGCTTTGATCACAAAGCCCGCACTAATCACGCCCAGTGACACCACACTGTTGCTTCCGGTTTCACGTCGCCGCGCTACTATCCCAGGATTTCACGACTCCGCGTTACTTTCCCCCTTCTTCCACACTCCGGTAGAAACGTATCCCGTGATCTAGTGCTTTGATCACAAAGCCCGCACTAATCACGCCCAGTGCCTCCAACACTGCTACTTCAGATCTCACAGCTCCGTGCGACAATCCAGGATTTCACAGCTCCGTGTTACTTTCCTCCCTTCTCATGTTTTGCTCCAAAACAAGTGTTGTCTTGCTTCCAACTTCTGAGACTCTGTAGTTGATCTTCAATGATGCGCAGGTCTCTTTGATGAAGATTAACACTCTTGAAAGATTTCTCTTGAATGCTCTGAGTGTTTTCTCTCTTTGGATGTATCAAGTAAAGCACTTGATTTTTATGCTCTGCTTAGCTCTGTTTAAGAACTCTCAGAATATTTTTCTCTAGAAGCTCTCTGAGTTCTTTTTCTTTTCTCACACTTGAAGATTTTAGCTCTTTGAATTTTTAGCTCTTTGCTCTTTGCTCGTATGTTCCCCTTCCTCTTCAAGTCTTCACATCTTCATCATTTTATAGCTGGTAATGAGGATCTGCCCGTTGGATAGAGACGATCTCATTTTTAAATTCTGTATCTTTTTTGTCAGAGATCTTATCTTATCTTCTGCAAAGATGTCAGAAAGAGATAAGCTAGCCGTTTGATGGATCTTCATCTCCATATAAATGAGCTCCCAAACTTCATCTGATATTCCTCTGGTTTTACGTTGAGTGAGAATATCTGGGTCTCAGTTTTGGTGTAGAATGGCTTCTCTGATCAGCTCTGAAGTGGTCCTTGTATCTTTGGGATAAAAAAATATTCTTTAATTTAATCCCATACTAGTTAGACTAGTATTTTTCCTTGTGAGAATATTTTCACTGTAAGTTCTTCTTCATCTTCTTCATTCTCACGTATGGGTGTTCTCAGACTTCAAACTGGCTTTGAACTTCCACCCAATTTGAATTTCTCCTTTGTAATTGACACCCAATTTCAATTTTCTTGTTTGAATTTTTCCTTTGTAATTGACACCCAATTTCAATTTTCTTGTAATTGGCACCCAAATTGAATTTCTCCTTTGTAATTGGCTCCCAATTGACTTTGACTTGCAATTGGCTCCCAAATTGAATTTCTCCTTCGTAATTGGGAGCAATTGGCTCTCCCAACGGCTTGTAATTGGCACCCAAATTGGAGAAATTGAATTTCTCCTTTGTGCTCCCAGACTTGCTTCAAACTGGTTCCCAATTTCAATTTCTTCGAACTAGCTCCCAATTTCAATTTCTATGCCACCCAAGTGAAATTGCTTCCCAATTTTCACTTGTAATCGGCGTCCAATGCCAAACTAGCGCCCAACTCCATTCTCAAATTTTACCTTGTAAAATTATTAATGGTGAGATTTGAACTTGAGACATTTCACATAACATATCAAGCATCATCCACTTCATCCAAACAGCCTTTTGATTAAATCTCCAATCATCTTTGGTGTACTCCTTTCTTTCCATAGATGCTTGATCTCCAAGTTAATTTCATGCCATCTTCCAATCGTAATTTTCTTCATCGAAAATTCTTCTGAGATATCTTTTGAGTAGCTTTGACGTAAATATTATATCATTCATCTTCTTCTTCAATTTGCCATTTTCTCCAGACAAATTCTTGATTTTAGGCTTGATATCTTCTTCTTCCATTTTATGCATCTTCCTCTGTTTTTCTCTTTTGCAACTTAAATAATTTCCTGATCATGGTCTAAGACTCTACTAGACCTATAAATAAAATTGGGGGTACTACAAATACATATTTGGCATATCAAAATCATTACACTTTATTCCTAACATAAATATATAAGGCGTCGGCTTGTACCTAAAAGCCGACGCCGTATGTTAATTCATTTAATTTAAAAAAACATACGACGTCGGTTTTTTAATCGACGTCGTATCATTTACTTACGACGTCTCTAAAGTCGACGTCGAAAGATAATCGACGTTAAATGGGGTATTTTAACCGACGTTAAAACCGTTTTCTGTAGTAGTGGAAATAGGACTATTGTTGAATATATTAATGAAATTAAATGCGGGCCATTGGAGATGATCTAGCTTTGGCTGCAAGTCCGGTATCTGAAGATGATTTAGTTTTTTATGTCATTACCCAATTAGGCGGGGAATACAATCCATGTTTTTCAGCCATTCGGATTCGGGAGAATCCAATCTCCTTTGCTGAATTGTCTAATATTTTGACTGCTCATGAAAGGTTGACGAGAGCAACAGATGATCAACGCCAAACCATGCTCGCGACAGCCAATATTGCTCAAAAGGGTGATCGGAGAACTAATAGCAAGACTAATAATTCTAGTCGCGACCAGAGTGGTCAATTTTCACGGCGATCTCGTGGAGGCTTTAATGGACAAAACAATCGTTTTTCTTGGAACAATTCAAACAATGGTAGGAATGCAGTGTTTTGCAGGTTCTATAACTGTCCGGGACATGAGACACGGTTTTGCCGTAGACTAGCAAGATTTTTAAAGGACAATAATGTTTGTCCCTCTCAGGCTCCCACTTCAACTTATTTTCTTGCGTCTAATGCTACTATGGCTTCTGTTCCACTACAACAACCTTGGTTGTTTGACAACGGCGCATCTCATCACGCCACATCAACTTCCTGTTCATTACAAACATTTGCTTATTACGGAGGTCCAGATAAAATACACTTGGGTGACGGTAAAAGTCTTAAAATATCACATACTGGTCATACTACTCTCCCCACACCAAAAAGAAATCTTTCATTAGCTAATGTTCTTTGTGTTCCAAAATTACGCAACAATTTGGTTTCTATATCAAAGTTGTGCAAAACTAATCGTGTCTTCGTGGAATTTTTTCCATCTTTCTTTCTTGTTAAGGATCTGCAAATGCAGGAGTCTCTAATGCGGGGGGAGAATGCCAATGACGTTTATTATGCTACCTTGTCTCGTCAGCCCCAAGTTCATGTTGCAACCGTGTCATTTGTGTCTGACTGGCATCATCGGTTAGGACACCCGTCAAATAAAATCCTGGGTGATCTCCTATGTCAAAATAATGTCTCAACTGGGTTGTCCTCTCTTTGCAATTTCTATTGTTCTTCTTGTAATATTAATAAAAGCCATAAATTACCTTTTTCAGACAATACCATGGTTAGTCATAAACCACTAGAGCTAATATATACTAATGTTTGGGGCACAAAACACCATTCTATTGATATATATATATATATATATATATATATATATATATATATATATATATATATATATATATATATATATATATATATATATATATATATATATATATATATATATATATTAACTACTTGAGTAATTTGTTGACAAAGAGAGTATTCAAATCACACAACAAATTGAAGTGAGAACTACCTCGCAATGTCCTTGTTTGACAATCAGCAGTCAACGATTAACGTTAGCGGATTTGACTACCGAATTATATCAACGATGGTAAAAAGATATTTGAAAAAATTAGATGTTTAGATTAACATGTAAAATGACCTAAGGGTATACATATATTTAATAATAATAATAATAATAATAATAATAGTTTTAAAAAATATAAAAAAATAAAAAAATATAATTAAGTCAATCATATTAACTACTTAGGGGATTTATTGACAAATATAGTATTCAAATCACACAACAAATTGAACTAGGAAACTACCTCGCAATATCATTGTTTGGCAATCAGTAGTTAGCTCTTCAATATTAGTATATATTTAATATTTTATTCCCTAATTTTTATTTGCTCTCCCTTATGTCGAGTATTTGATTTCAACCATACCTATACAATTATTTTATTAACAATTATAATCAATCTTGACTATATTATCTTGTATTTGTAAACTTAGAATTATCTATTTAAATATGCAAATTCAACATTCAATTATCTATGCATGAACAATTCCAATATAATCTTGACTTGATATACTTTAAAGTACTTATTTTAAAAAATATTGGGCATTATCCTAATCGCGCAATGCGCCTAAGAAAAACTAGTTAGTCAGATAATAGTTGTAATTCAACCACTAACGTAGTTTATAAAGAGGACTGTAATAATTTGTAATTTAAAAATGTTTCAAAGCACCAACTAAATGTACATTTGACATATGACACATGTGCATTCAAAGCACCAATTGTAGAATATATGTGCTTGAATTTGACATCCACAGTAACCATAAGCTGAATTTGCATTACATAGATGTAGGATTTCCTAGAATGTAAAATTAGTGCTAAATTCTATAAAATAAGCATGGATGTTAACAGATTAAGTATTGATGAGGACGGTTTTCACACATCCATCAAGTATCAAATCACAGTATAGAGTTTAGATATCGTTCCACTGGAGATGGCTCTTGTAATGTTAGGAATTGATGCAAAGTGGAGTTAAGCACAAGCTAGAACAATTCTTTTAGAAGCTAGACCTATCGATAAGGAGATGGTTTGATACGAACAAGCTAATAACAAATAGAACAAGTAAAACAAATGACCGGGATTTGGTTGATTCAAGCTAAGATCCCAAATATTGTACTAAGGATTGGGGAATTAAAACAAGGCATAGGGTAAGTGAGATGCACAAAAGTGTCCAAATACCACTCTCGTAGCTATTTGGACTTGCAACCTCACCTTAAACTCCACTCTCGTGGAAATTCAACTCAAGGTTGCCCAAGCAAGAACACAAAGCATAAACTCTCCTTAATACCCAAAATACTCTCGTATTGGGCAATAAGTGTGTGAATGTGTGGCTAGTGTACAAGCTCTACTCTCGTAGCAACAAACACACTCCAAATCAAGCATATAATTTAGATCCAACAATTATACACAAATTCACAACAAACCCAAATCACACAACTAACCCTAGAGCACCCAAATAATCCCCTTTATGCAATACAACTCTAATAGGCATCAATAGCAAGAAATCAAACCAAATCCAAGTCTTAAAACACTTAGCTACTCATAATCTAACATTAGATACAAAATATTAAAGGAGTAATTGAAAGCATAGATGAAAAGTAAAGATAAGAGATAATAAGAAAACTTCTCTATTGAAGCTTTGAAATTCAAGATTTGCAATGTTCTTGAGCTTGGAAATGGAAAGGAGCCCCAAATCTACACTAATCTAAGCTATTCTAAAGTTAACCCTAGCTATGGAGTGAAAGAGAAATGAAAAAGTAATGATAGATATGTTTTGGGGTGGAAGAATTCTCTTAAAAGAGTCAAAACGCGCTGCAAAAAGTTGCAGAGGGCTGGCCACGGGTGTGGCCACGCCCTTGGCCACACCTGTGGCCAGAAATGCAGGGCACACTGCACTAGTACAGAAACAGTCATTCGCGTCCAAAGTAAAGCGTCATTCGCGTCCAAAGTAGCTGGGACGCAGATGGCGGGGACGCGAATTGTATATACAATTCGCGTCCAAAGCTACTTTGGACGCGAAAAATGAAAAATCGCGTCCAAAGTTCGTGAACTTTGGACGCGTATAGTGTTTATTTATTTAAAGAAAAATAATATATGCGTCCAAAGTTCCTGAACTTTGGACGCGTATAGTAAACAATTTAAAAAAAAAAAAAATTTATAAAACTACCAATATTTTCCTGTACATCCCAGCATAACTACCAAATAATATATTTCAACATTAATCAATTTAAGATATATACTACACACCAATTCTATCAACATTTGTTTAACCTGCAAAAATTATAGATAATACAAAGGATTTAGATATACATAATTAACTAAAGATTTCCTCATTTTTGGCTTCCATAGCCATTTACAGTGACAAACTTTTCTTATATGAAGAAGAAAACAGACCAAGAATGAATTAAGTCAGAAACAAGGCCAGAAAATTGTCATAGTAGGGTCATCCAACAACATATACTCCATCTATAAGGAATGCAAATAGCAAGAAACAATCCATCAATTATCTGACCAGGTGTTTTGGAGCATACTATGTCCAAATGGGTGAAGTGCTCAATTCGTGTGTTTGCAAACAACCTATACAACAAAAATGGTTATGGTCACTTGGCCAGTTGCAGCAAAGAAACCAAAGACAATGGATAAGGGAAACCCTTGATTTAAGGTGGGGTTTTATAAAATTTAGTCCTTACTTCTCATATGCAGTTTGGACTCTAGCATTCTGTATCTCTGTATGTTCATTTACTCTTTCTGTTGCACAACCTTCATTTATATCCACAAACCCATGGAGAAACATGTTCCTTTCCAACATTCTTTTGACTAAAGCACAGACAACTTTTATATTGTTGGCTTTTGCATCTGCAACAAGGTTTCGCAACCTCTTCAATTCTCCTGTAAAGGAGTTAATTAGTATGCACCATCACATCAATGACCATATAACATTTCAACAACAGGAATCACTTTTAAAAGAGAAATTGATAGTTTAAAAGAGAAATTGCAACCAATGAAAGTGCCAAAACAGAGACCTTGATATTAAGTTCATCTCTTTCAGCTAGCATCTGCAACAAATGCTGATTCTGCATGGATGGTAAAAGGTTAAATCAGGAAAAAATATGTTTAAGCTTAAGCCTTCACACAGTAGAAAATAAAATGAAATAGAGATGGTTGGTCTTACTTTGAGAGTACTTCCTGTGTAATGATCAACTGCAATGACCATTCAATAGAATATTCAAGTGAAATGCCATCCCATCCATCTAACTTAGATGTATCCAAGCAATATTAATTTTTAAATTTTACAAGCAATTGGTAAAATCATCAACAAAGCTTTTAGTATTGGACATACTTGGGACCTGCTGCCATTGTAGCATAGTTCCCTATTTGCTCCCTGCACAAGAAAATTTATATTATACACCCTTGAAGATAAAACTTGAGGATAATTATACATTTGAGGAAATATATACTGAAAATGTTTTCCTAATGAAGGATAGTTAAAGAGAATGAAAGAATAATTACTTGTAACATGGAGGATACTGAAAATTTATATTTTACTCTCTCTTTTCCATCAAACTTGCCCTATGGATCCAAGCCAAGCTAAAGACACTCCCAACTCCGAGTGTGTGCTATACTTGGAGCCTATAAAGACTCCACCATTCATGGCACAAAACCCGAATGGGCCCCTAAGGCTAGAAGCTACCCCAAGAATCTCTTCTAGAGAGCTTTTTGCCCCAGGAGGCAAGACATGCACATATTAGAGCCGGGAGCTCTCTAAACTAGCTCAAGCAAATCTTTACTGAGTTTAAAACACTCAGAAATGAAAGATGAAGGACCAGCAAGAATGTCCAAACAAGCAATTCCTCTAAAATCACTAACAGGAATAATTCTCTTCTCAACCACACGAAGCTTTAGATTTGAGAGGTTCTCTTCTCTTGAGAGCTTAGCTATTTGAGCATTTTTAGCTCTATTCTCCCTGTAATAAAGAAAGGAAAATATGGAGACTGCTCCAATGTCTATAGCAAGACCTTGTGCGATCTCTGGAACTTCAGCAGCTCTTGATGAATTTGCCAGTGCTCCAATCAGCTGTGATGTGGCTATGAATCCCCCAAGAGAACTACTTCCAATAAAAGCAATATAGAAGAACATACGGAGGGATTGAAAAGGAATATACACAACAAATTTTAAAATAAATAAACAACCATAACAAATAACAAAAAATAATTAAATTAATTACTATTTTTGAAAAAAAATAACAAATAAAAAAACATTTAAAAACGACGTACCTACCTGCGATGCGGTCGGCGTCCGAAGCTTGGAGACTGGAGGCGCGGTCGGCGTGCGTAGCTTGGAGCAGCAGCGGCGGCGAGCTTGGGCGGCAGCGGAGGGGAAGCGGTCTGAAGCAGCGACAGTGAGTGCGATCGGAGCTATGGACGATGAAGAAGCTTGGGCGGCAGTGTTCGGCGATGGACTGGACTGGCCGGACGACGGCGATGGACGGCGTGCGGTGGAGGATGGAGAGCTACGATCTGATCTGCTATGGAAGGTGGTGCGTCGATCTGATCTGATGGTAGGGTTGTGGGGGATAAAATTAATAAAGCGCGTCCAAAGTTAGCCACTTTGGACTCGGTTGAGTAAAGGGATTCTATTATTCGAGTCCAAAGTGGCCAGCTTTGGACGCGAATAATAGAACGCTTTTAATATCCGCGTCCAAAGTACATAGCTTTGGACGCCTTTAAAATTAAAAAAAAAATTTATTTATACAGTGGCATTTTAATTACAAAAATGCCACCGCGTTACACTTTTGGCGTCCAAAGTTCTAATTTTGGATGCGAATTAATCAATTTTATAGATGTTTTTTGTACTAGTGCTGCCCAGTGGCCACGGGTGTGGCCACGGCCGTGGCCAGACCCGTGGCCACAGGCAGTGTGCACTGCCAGTGCACTAAGGTCGTCTTCTAGGCCAGTCTTTACCCTCAAAACCTTTGAATTAGCATTTGTGGTCTCTATCAAAGTTGTAGCTCTTCAAGTTAGCTTTCCAATGATATAAACTTCACTTGTTTTGGACATTCCTACGCAGAGATATGATCAAAATACCGAGCAGTGGACGATTTGTGCGGGAATTTCAACTTCTTGCTCTTTTGCTCCACTTTTGCCTTTGTTTGTCCAAATGACCAAGACCAATAAACACACCATAATTTGGCTCACTAAAAGGTGTTTCTCCATCTTCATAGCTTTTCATTGACTCCCATTGACTCTACAAGTATCCAAAATGCCCCAAAAATCACTCAATTCATCTAAATCATCAAGAATTACACATAAACACACAAATGAATCAAATGAGGATACTTTGGGCAAAAATATAACAAATAACAATGAATATAAGCTTAAATGTAAGATGAAATTATAATCTTTTAGACTCTTATCAACCCCCCCACACTTAAACCTTTGCTTGTCCTCAAGCAAAAACAAGGACTAAACCACCAATATAGCACTGAAGTTGATCATACTCCCACTTTGCACAACTTAACAAACCACAATCCAACTCGACACAACACAACTTGTTTCAAGAATCATCTTAGCATTCCACACAAGTTCCATTCTCTAGCCAATAACCAAGCACCAAAATTATTATAGAACGTGAGGATCAAGTGTGCACAAATACTAAGTTGAGATTATGCAAAACTTGGCTTTGAATGAGATTCCATAGGCTTGCCCTTCATACTCTCACTAGTTCAACTCTAAGCTAGATTGCATGCCAAGATCAAGTAGGACTTTTATTAGGCTCGTAATGAGGCCAAGGGTGAATGGTTGACAAAGAAGGGGTAAGGAAATCAAATAAAAGAGAGAACTTCGGAGTTATTCACAATTGAGATTGGAGAGATATGGCATCAAAGAACTAAGGAGCAACTAACAACTAAACACAAGGTAACACTATAAAGTAGTGGAGGTTGAGAACAATTTTCAAAGCAAACTATCAAACTTTTATTGAACTTCTTCTTTTTTATTTCTTCATCTATTTTCAACATTTTCGTGACTTTTTTTTTTTCAATTTTCTCATCATTTTTTTCTCTTTTTTTTTTTTTTTTTTCAAATCAACAAAGAAATTTTTTCAATAAATCTAGACCATCACACTTAGATAACATTATAGAGAGTGTTGCTAACAAAACAAGCTCCAAAAAGAAAAAGAATCACTTCCAACAAAAAGAACAAGTGCACTATTCTCTCAAGGGTGGAGGGAAATATTTTGGCTAATGTTTAAGGGTTAAATGACAACGGTTAACACAAGAAGAACAAACACAAAGGGGATTAGGTGCTTAGCACTTATTGAACAAATAGAAAAGGCTCAACGGGGACAACTAGGGGTAAACATATGTGTACAAGGGTAGGCTTAAAGGCTTGGGCTAAACAAAAATGGCCTAAATCATTTCAAAACATGCAAATCTTAGATTTCACTTAGAGAGTAATGAGGCAAGTTCCAGCAAAACAACCATTACCGGAATCTCACATAAGCCTTCACTAGCAATGCACAACACACAAGATCAAGAATTTATTCAATTATTAGGTGGTTAACAAAATCATTGGCAAGGGAATAGATCAATCATGTGTTACACCTTGACTCATCAATCACAAGTTGCATTGTAACAAGTTCCACCAAGCAAACCACAAACCAACAAAGGGGAGTAATCACAAATTCAAGTATATAAAGGCAATTTATTCAACACAAAGCACAATGAGTCATCCAAGCAAGGTTTCAAAAAGTTTATATTTTTTTAGAAAACACCCAAATTATCCCCTCCCCCACACTTAAAGCTACATCGTCCTCGATGTGAAAGAAAATAAAGCACGAGGGGAGAAAATGGTGGCACAATAAGCACAATGAGCACAATATCTACTATCTACATTAAGTAAAGCACTAAACACATTTAAAGAAAGTAGAGAAGGTAGATGAGACTCCCTTAATGAATCTTCTTGTGCCAAAGAATCATTATGAAGCCTTCTTGGAATTGAGCATACTCCTTAGTGTCACTCCTAGAGTCAAAGGAATATACACATTGTTGAGTTTGTCTCATATATGGATTAGGAATAAGTGTTTGTCTCATACTAGGAGTAGGAGTGAAACGGGTAGACCTATTGTATAGGGATTAGATGCCTATAAATATATTGGTTATATCCCTAAGGGGTTGTGTCACCACTATCACCATCACAAATAATAAGAGTATTGTTTCACTCCCGTGGATGTAGGCACTTTGCCGAACCACGTAAATCTTGCCTTCTTTACCTTTTCTGCCATTATTATTATTTTTATTGTTCTTGTTTAATCTCAACAAATTGGTATCAGATCACTGTTGAGATGGCTAGTTCAAGTACAAAATTCGAGATATCAAAGTTTGATGGTATAGGGAATTTTGGGTTATGGCGGTCTAGGGTAAAGGACTTGTTGGCATATCAGGGCCTTCTGAAAACCTTGAAGGCAGAAAAGCCAGCAAATCTGGAAGAGGCTGATTTGGGGGAGTTGAAGAAGCAAGAAGCTACGGACGTGGTACATGCTGATGACTCTTATTATAGTGAAGGTGATGTTCTTGCAGTTACAAGGAACAAGTTCGAACATTGTTTGAACTTGTTGGGTGTTTCTAGATGCTAGATGAGAAAGTGGTGAGGGGCGCTGTAGTGTTGGGCAGCGCGGATACCAGGAGGGGTCATGAACCTGGTATCAATATGGGTCAATATTGGCTCGGTATAGGCCGAATTTGAGATGAGTCATGGCTGGTACGGGTTGGGCTTGTCATGAGACATGGACCTGGTATGGGCCGGGGCTTGGCATGAGTCACGGCTGGTATGGGAGGACTTCTCGGGACAACGAAGAAGTTCGTGAACATGCACTGGGAAACGTTTGATGCTGCGTTGTGCGTGTTGCTGGCCAGTGGTAATTGCTGGTTAGTGGAGCATTGGGCAAGACACACGGGTTTAGTGTGACTTTGCAGGGGCGC